ATTTCTTAGTTGGTTTTATTCTACTTTCTTTTTTTCTTTCTATAAATATCAAATAAAAGTCTTTGTGTTAAGCTGAGTTTACTGTCACAGATAAAGTCCTGCTGTGTTGTCATGGTAACGCATGCTGTATTTCCATGGGGGCTGAAACAATCATATTAATCAATTATTGAAAAAATGGTCAACTAATTTATTAATTGATTAATCGTTAACTGGAGAATCAATGTAAACAAATATGTAAACATTTTGCATTTAAGACAAAAACAAACACTTTCTATCTGTCAATCAGCTCTATGATCCAGAACTCCTCATGTGGAAAAGTTCTAACTTCATCTGGTTTAATTCTGAACAAAAGTCTCATTAAAATGATTATTAATTATATAAACGGTTCAGTCCAGCTAACTGGGCCAGATCATAATTCATCTCGTTTATTCGTGTGTTCTTTGTTTATTCCTTTGACCGTCTCCATGGTAACCGCGTCTAACCTGGAGTCTGTGTGCCTGCAGTCATGGAGCTGACGGCGAAGGAGCGGCAGCAGGTGGAGCAGCAGGTGGAGCAGCTGCTGAGCGGCCAGGGGTCAGAGGTCAGCCTGTGTGATGTGGGTCTGGAGCTGAGCAAGCCGGCGGTTCTCAGGAAGAACGTCACCTACATCGTCTGTGGCGTCGTTTTCAACGATCAGGTAAGGCGAGGATGTGAGGAAGGCTGGGCGTGCGCCGCTGTTCGCCGTTACGGCAGAGCTGTTGCTGTTCCTCCTCCAGGAGGAGGTGCTGATGGTGCAGGAGGCCAAGCAGGACTGCTACAAGCAGTGGTACCTGCCAGCAGGGAGGGTGGAGGTGGGGGAGAGCCTGGAGGAGGCGCTGAGGCGGGAGGTGAGTCCTGCAGCTGTTGTCATGGTGAACGCTGTCCTGAAAGTCCCTCTGATGTCGGTGCGCGATGTCCGCAGGTGAAGGAGGAGGCGGGCTTCGACTGCCAGCCAATCACCTTGCTGCTGATCCAGGAGCAGGGACCGCAGTGGATCCGCTTCGTCTTCCTCGCCCGGATCACAGGTCAGAGGTCACAGCGTCCTGTTCTGTTTGGGGGGAGGGGTGGAGTCAGGTGGGCGGGGCCTGAGAGTGTGCTTCCTGTCTGTCAGGAGGAAGCATGAAGACTCTGACGGCGGCTGACCAGGAGTCGCTTCAGGCGTCCTGGTGGGACAGACAGGCGTCCCTCCCCCTCCGAGGACGGGACATCCTGCGCCTCATCGAACACGGACTCAGGTGGGACCGCCGCTGGTTCTGTTGCTAGCCGGACCCAGACAGCAGGCGGTCCAGAACCAGAACCAGAACCATGAGGGCTGGGTTCCAGAACGCGGCGTGACTTAAACACAAGAACCAGGAGCTCTGTTTGGGTTTAATGAGGTCAGAATGACTCAAACTGGACCAGAACAGATCAGGTCCTGCTGTGTTGCCATGGTAACGCATGCTGGATTCATGGATTATTGAAATAACTTGAAATAATGGTCAACTAATTTAGTAATGAATTAATCGTTAACTGCAGTATAGAGACTGTAAAACCTGCTTTTAGCTGACAGAGCGACTCAGAGCAGGAATTATAACAAGATTATAAAAATAATTACGTTTTGCATCTAAAATAATAGAAAGTTCTTCATCCGTCAATCTGCTCT